CCCCAAAACCCCAAAACCCCAAAACCCCAAAACCCCATTAGGCTAAATACTTGGTTAATCTAAAAATGAAAAGTATAGCTAATTGCAATCTAAATTTATAATTAATTAACCATATTTCTCAAAAACACACATGTCAACTTCTATCGCTGAACTTGAAAGAATTCACTTAAGATTTATCAATGTCAAGGATGATCTTAAACTCACAGAGATATTGTCTAAAATTTTACCAAAGTAAGGTAGATATTTATTGTAAGGCTTATATAGTATGATAAACGTATTTTTTGAGCATGATTTGACTAATGCTGATCTTTAAAACCCTAAAATCTAGGCACTAGAGTAGATTCTAAATCATCTTGTCATGAGAGTTAAGAATTCTTAGTAGGTAAATCCACCTTGGAATCTGCTTATAGATATCTTTAATCAAGATGCTTATCAAAACTTTGAAAATGTAAATGTAAAGAGACATGCACAAACAAGGATATTTGAATTCATTTTCGAATCTTATAGTAGAATTCCTCAGACTTAGGATGAATCATTTATCATGATCCTATTGCAAACCATTGCAAATGATGATGTGAGATTCCTCCAGAAGACTAAGCTCATCATTTTACTAGTACATAGATTCTTAGGATACTTGAAAGCATTGTAAATGGATAAACTAGCTCTACTTGTTAAAAGTCTATTGAGTGATGAACTAAAGAATTCATTTTTACAAATGTGTCTCTATTTCTTAATCAACACTATTCATCCAACAAGTCTCTAACCATCATTGAGAGATAGCTTTGAAGAATCAATTGAAATGTTCTCAGACAAATTCAGAGATACTCTTAAGGAAACACAAACAGTATTCCTATAGAATTATGAGGAGGTTGTTCTTAAGTTTACTGGAACTCAAATCATTTTTACCCCAGAGGATTAATTACCAATCCTTCTTATTGCTTCTTTAAGTCACATAAACAAAACAAGAGACTTTGCAGAATTAAGCATAAGAAGTGTTTTCCCAGCAATTGATACAAAGAATTAGGATATGTCTGAAAAGATCTATCATCTAATATTCAATGAGACCTACATCTATAGAGATTTTTCAGAAAGAGAAGATTAGCATATTGCTCCATTCCCTTTCCAACATTAGATTAAGTTAATAGAGTATTTAATCAAATTTGAGTGCTCTGCATCATAAAGTCCTCTTAACTAGAAATTAGTTTATCATTGCTTTTTCTCACAACTTGCAAGAGTACTTGAGAAAACAGGAATAAATTTCTTAGGTAATTTTATTCTATTAAAAAATTTTAGTGCATATGATAAGATTTAACAATCTTTCAAATGAGGAAACTGTGTCTTTCTTGAAATAGACTCTCTTAAAAATTTTGAATGATGGTAGTTTTACTGAAGATACATAGTCAATGTCTATTTAAGTAATGGCTGATATGGGAGTCAAAAACTATGCAGCTATTAATGATGACATTGATGTTGCTATTGACACCTTTTAAAGACTTAGAGGTAGAATTAATGAATTAGAAAACGATGGAAACTTATCAATTAGAAATGACTATGCAGCTACAAATTACATTGAAGCTTTAAATAAATTCAGAGACTGCTATGAAAGAAATCTAAATGATAACAACAAAAGAAATTTACTTGAACAATATGTTCTGAATTACTTGAACAAAGAAGGAATGAGATGCAACAGTGAAATAGTATACCTCTTATATCTCTATTTAAGTCGTCTAGATAGAGGGTCTCTCATTTCATCTGTGCTATTGTACAGCATAATTCTCAAAGATCATCAAGATATAAAGATTAAGAATGAAGCCTTCCATTAATTGAATAAGTTTAATAAAGACTTTGAAACTCTTAAGAATAAAAGAATATTAAGACCATTCTTAAGAGATATAGAATCTTATCTAAGTAGAAATAAGATGGATGTCATCTGCAATAGCTCGGAAGATGGTCTCAAAGAATTTTTGACTTTTGCTGGAGTTTAGTTCAATTAAGACATCATAGAGAGACTTCTTGAGATCACCTAGTATGCAATCAAGTTTTATCAAGCTGAATAATAAGACAAAGAAAATCTTATGGATTTAGAGGATCAGCAAGAAGTTCAAGAGAAAATTGAGAGACTACTCACAATGAACATAAATCAAAACTTTACTTTAGTTAAATCAGATTTTTCCCAGCCACTAAATATGATATTCGAGTATCTTAAGAATTCAAAAGCAATGGGAGTATTAAGAACAATAGGCTTAGAGCTTATTTACAAACTATCAATCGGCTCAGTCAATTTATCTTAAAGAGTCCTATCTATGAAAATAATAATAAAAGTGCTTAAAAGTTTATCAGAAGATTAAGATTATATTTCAAGATTTATGAAGGTCTTAGAAGATCAAAACTCTACAAAAGATAAGAGCTTTGATAAATTATCCCATGAGGTTAAGCTTAATACTATTTTTTCAGTTACTGTTCAACTTCTTTTCAGAAATTAGGAAGATAATGTTGGAGAAGAGTTAAGGAAAAGTATGAATGATATAGTTGATAAGATACTACTAGAATAAAGCCTCTCACCAAATATCATGGAATTAATGAAATTTACTTCAGTATGTTTAAAGAAATTAGGCTAGGTATATGACCTTGAAAATGAAGTGCTAGAGAGAGAAAAAATAGATAAGATCAATGCTAGTCTGATTGATAAGATAAAAAGAAGTGATATTGATATCGTATTCAGGAAATATGTAATTACTAATAATTTTTTATAATCTTTCCTAGTTAGTGCAAAACTACGCTGGAATAATTAAAAAAGCTAGCTAAGAGTTGAAGATAAAGAGAGCCGATGAGATGCTAAATTTGATGATTCAATATGATAATTAGGATATTTAAGAGTAAATTGGTAAAAGCTTATCAAATGTAAATTTTTTTTCATAACTTATTTTTAGCTACACATGTATGCATCTGAAGGATAAATAGTAATTTATGCAGAGGATTTAACAGCAAGAGTCTTTAAGCCCCTAGGAGGTGATATAACTTTGATATACAAAAGAAATTGCACTACATTCTTGTATCAAGTAATAGAATTATATGGATAAAAGAGTAAAGCCATTCAAGAGAGATTCCTAACTTACTAAAGAGTTTTTATTAAGTTCCTTTTCGATAGAAAGACATCAATGCAAGATTTGAGCTCTAAAGCTCTATCAAAAATATACAATCTTGGAAATAGTGATGTTAGAGTAAGGCTTGTTGAATCGTTATCTAAGACTCTCTCTGGAGAAAAGACCATTAATGAGCATTAAGAAAAGGATGAAAATAATGAGCTACTATTAGAGTTTTAAGATAATACTTCTACAGAACAGAGAGAAAAGCTTAAAACTTATAAGGACCTTTGTAATATTGCTGTTGATCTTGGTCACAGAGAGCTAATCTATTAGTTTTTAGAAGTCCATAGACACATGGCTCACTATGAAGATATAAAAAACGCAGCCAAAGGTCTCAGCAGTATTATCATGCTTGACGAAAAATTAAAGAGTGATTTGATGAAAATTGCTCCCAAAATCTTATTGCTAACTTATGACCATAATCCAGGAGTTAAAGAAACTATGAGAGACTTATGGAGCAATCTAATAGAAGTTGAAAAAGAGGATGAAATTATCATTAAGAGATGGCCAGAAATTTTTAAAGAAGCATATTCAGGCCTTCACTCAAAAGAGTATAGAAAAAGATAGTCATCTGCTCTAGCTTTATCAGATTTTATGAGTAAGATGGAATGGCCGCTTATCAAGGATAAATTCAAAGACCTCTTTTTGAATTCCTTGGCTTTACTTGATGATGATAAGGATACAGTTAAGGCAGCAGCTTTTCAACTAGTTAAGACATTAAGAAGAATATCGCTTAGATTAGGAAATATTTACACCAACAGTAATGTTAAGGAACTTGAAGAATTCCTCTAGATTATAATTCCTATGCTTTTAGATGAAGGAATTAAGTCCAACATGAAGTAAGTTAGATTTTTCTCAGTGGATCTATTGACTGAAATCATTAAAACAACTCAAAATAACAGTATGATGACGAAACTTAAGATATAAAATAAGCATGAACGATAGCTTGTATTCAACTATAATTCTGAGTAGAAGATGAAAGAAATCATGAATAAATTCCTTGATAGAATCATACTAGAGTTCATGAGAAATCTTAGTACTATGAATGAAGCTGTTTCATATATAAATATGATAGAATAGATGGCAATTGGGTAGGGAATATCAACCTCAGGCAAATAGAAAGGTACATCAGGTTTCAGTGAATCTGAATTGACTGACCTTAGAATTAAATTTACAAAGGAGTCCAGTTGGGGAGAAGTTTTAAAGATCTGCCGAGAGTTACTCACTGAAGAGACTTTCAATAAGATACTTAATGATATAATTGCTTTAATGAGAGGGGGTCATGATACTACCACAAAATCAGCTGCTATAACTTTTGTTTAGGATATCATTTTGGAGAATAAAACTCATCTAATAACTCCTTAAAATTCAAGAAAAATTGCACAGAAGATGGTAGAAATCTATCAAATGAATTCAGTCACTACATGCCTTTAGATTCCAGATTCTCTTAAAAGTCTCTACGCACAATGTCTTGGAGTTCAGATGAAGATAATCAAGGAATTTCCTAAAACTATTGACCAATTAATTGAAAGTGTGGTAGCTCTTCCTCAAGAATTAGATTTCGTAGTAATACTCAATATCTATGAGATTATAAAGAATATTCCAGAATAAATGCTGAAGAGTGATTAAGGCAAGATAATTGCAAAAGCTATTCCAGTAATTTACATTAACAGATACAAAAATTCAGATTATGGAATGAAAACTCTAAGTAGAAAAACCTATTAATACCTCTAAGACCATATCTCTAATTTAACTGAATCTCATTCAGACTCAATATTTGGGATTATTAAGACAAGGTTTGAATCAATGCAATATGAGGATAGAGTCTCAGCCTCTTAGGCAATGCAAGATATGGTAATCAAACTATCAGATGATGATTTGAGAAATAACACTACTGTCGATGAAATAATGTAAATGCTGTAGAAGTAAATTGCTGGCAAGCATTTCAACGACAAGGAGACAGTAGTCGAAGGCTTTATGTAACTCTTAAAGCTTAATAAGAAGTATCTTAATGACGTGGACTACATTAACTAATATGTTGAAACTTGTATCTAGCAAATAGAAAAGTACTCTTAAAGCTAGTTGAACTACAAAAATCAAATTATGAAATCTTTGAAACAAGTATTAGATATGACTAGTGTAGTCAAAACAGAAAAGTTAGAAAGAGCCTTTACCTTTCTGATTTCAGATTTGAGCATTTAGCTCCAAAAGATTAGCGAGTTGGCTTCTATGATTGAAACTGTAGATGATTTAGAAGAGAAGAAAGAAGATGAGAAGCAAGCACTTCAGATAGTAGTGTCCACTTATGAATTATTACCAAGAATCATGACTAATTAAAGTCAAATCTAGGATTATTGTGAGTTAAGCTTTAAGTATTATCAGAGAACTAATTGGATTATCAGGAAATCCGTGCTTGGGTCATTAAAGTAAATTCTAGAAAAATCAAGCAAAGATGTTCTTGATTAAAATCTGAACATTCTCATTAAAAATTTGATTGCTTCAATAGCTCAGAGTGGTGAAAAATATGAGACAAATCTGGCTCTTATTAGTGATGTCATTACTACCTATACTGAGAGATATTATACTGCTGTTGAAAATAAGGATGGATTTAATCAAGACGTTTTAGCCATTATAGAATTGATAGTTGCAAAAGGATAAGAAGATTTAAAGAAAAATATAGACATTATAAGAAGAAACATCAATATTTAATGAATATAATATTTAATATATTATCAAATATTTTATCTGAATTTAATTCGAGGGGTTTTGGGGTTTTGGGGTTTTGG